ACAAACTAAAAAAACCAAAGTCATAAAAATATGTAAAATAAAGTAAAAATTAAAAAACATTTTAAGTGGTTGAAAATAACTTGCATTTAACACTGTTGATGATAGGGTAATTAAAAAGGTAGGCATTTTTCAGGTGCTACAAACATATTTTTTAATTGTAAAATGCTGAAAATAGAATCTTGGTACCTCAGTCTGTGATGTTACCCACCCATATGTGTGACATTCAAGACTGAATTGTTTAAAGAGTCAGTAGAGTACTATTAACCTAAACGCAATGCCATCAAGTTGATTCCAACTCATAGTAACACCCTGTAAGACAGAATAGAACTGCTCCATAGGGTTTCCAAAGCTGCAAATCTTTACAGAAGCAGACTGCCTCATCTTTCTCCTACAGAGTGGCTGGTGAGTTTGAACAGCCAGCCGTTTTGATTGGCAGCCAAATGTTTTAATGACTACATCAAATGAAAAACCAAACCCACTGCCATTGAGTTGATTCCAACTCATAGAGACCCCCATTGGGTTTTTGGGCAGTAAATCTTTACAGAAGTAGATTGCCATTGAGTGGCTGGTGGGTTTGAACCACCAACCTTGTGGTTAGCAGTCAAATCCCTTTGGCACTCTGCTACCAGAGCTTCTTTAGGAATACTATATATATATAAATAAAAATAAAAAAACAAACCCACTGCCATCAAGTCGATTCCGACTCATAATGACACCCATTGGGTTTCCAAGGCGGTAAATATTTACAGAAGTAGATTGCCGAGTCTTGCTTTCACGGAATGGCTGGTCAGTTTGAACACCCAGCCTTCTGATTAGCAGTCATGATGCCTTAAGCACTGTACTACCAGAGCTCTTTTAGGAGTACTATAAACCAAACCAAACTCACTGCCATCAAGTCACATCTCACTCATAGCGACCCCTCCTTGGGTTTCCGAGGCAGTATCACTACAGAAGGAAATTGCCCAACCTTCCTTCCAAGGAGTGGCTGATGGGTTTGAACCTCCAGCCTTCTGGTTAGCAGTCAGATGCCTTAGGCACTATGCCACCAGAGCTCCTTAACAGTACTATGTTGTTGTTGTTGTTATGTGCCATCGAGTCAGCCCTGACTCATAGCGACCCCTCCTTGGGTTTCCAAGGCAGTATCACTACAGAAGCAGGATTGCCCAACCTTCCTTCCGAGGAGTGGCTGGTGGGTTTGAACCGCCAGCCTTCTGGTTAGCAGTCAAGTACCTTAGCCACTATGCTACCAGAGCTCCCAGCAGTACTATAAGACATATTAAATAATAATTATGTTACATATTATTTTGGTAAAGAGCCCTGGTGGAGCAATAGTTAAATGCTCTGCTGCTTATTGAAAGGTTGGTGGTTTATAACCACTCAGAGGCTCTGAAGGAGAAAGACCTAGTGATCTATCTGCTTCCATAAAGACAAGAAAACTCTGTGGGGCAGTGTGGTGGTTAAATTTGTGTGTCAACTTGGCTGGGCCTGGTTGAGTGGTTAGGCAGCTGGATGTAGTTATTCCCCATGGTAAGATTGCTGATTAACTCCATCGTGTAATCTATTGGAGCAGCTGAGTATCTGCTTTAGGGATGTGGTCTTGCCATATATAAGAAACAGCTTTGGGAATGGTCTCTAGCCTTTTGGCATGCTTGAACACTGTATGTGGCCAAGTCATTGTTCAACAGCCTGCCGTGCCCTGCTGATCTTGAGACTTTATCTGGACTTGAATTAGTGGCCTGCCATGTTGTTTGGTAACATTGGGACTGTGCCTTTTTACTTGTCAACCTTGGGTTTGTCAGCCGCAGCAGCCGGCAGCTGTCTGAGTGAAGAAAAGCCTCCAGCTTTAGTGGGCTGGGAGCAGGAGGCAGAGCTGAAGCCCAAGGTTAAGGGGCTTTCACCCAGCCCCTAGAGCCTGGCACTTTGAATTTGGACTTAAAGCCTCTAAAACTGTAAGAGAGTAAATTCCTGTTTGTTCAAGCCGTCCCATTTGTGGTATATTTCTGTCCGAGCCACACTAAGTAACTGAAACAGGCAGTTCTGTCTCATGGGAATAGACTCAGTGGCACCCAGCAAAAGCCAAAGTATTTGGTACTCTTTTCTTTTGACTTGTTATTTTAGGTTCCCAAAAAGATAACGAAGACTTTATATGTAAGATTTCCATACATTTCAAATACATCTATAAAAATACAGAAATGTGAGGAAAAATGGAAATTTAAACCATACTTTTTGGTTAGGGTACTTTATGGATCTTCTGTTATTTTTCAATTTGATTGTCAAAAGAATTTTTTTTTAGATAACTTAGTTTGCTCATAAAATTGACCCATTTGGTATGTACTAAATACAACTTGACAATGTAGAATTTTCAAGAAATGAGTCATTTAGAAGAGTGAGTTTCTCAGATGACTAAGGATTTATTTCTTTAGTCATTAATTTTGTTTAAATTTCAGTTGACGTGTTCCTTAAATGTATTATATACTTCCTGGTCTTCCCAAATTCAGCCAATACAAAGAGTTTGCCTTGTCTTATTGACTTGAGATTCTCACTATATCAGGTATTGTCCGTTTCTGCATGGCAGTGCCCTCAGAGCCTATCACAGTTCTGGATTTTTTGCCCCTTCAGGTGAGTGACCCCAGATGCTGTGCCTTTGAGTTCCTGTAATAACTGTTTTTCATGGATTTATTTTGTCTCTTCCTGGTGCCTGTAGCTAGCATTTCTTGAGCTTCTTTCTTGTTGCTTCTGATCAAATGATGATAATTGGGTTGTGTGTGAAAGAAAAATATAGCTTCAATTCATTCCCTCTTGAGTGATGTGCATAGGCCTTAGTACATGAATTTTTTAACTTTCAGATACTCAGAAGCCTTATAAAATATCTGGTTCTATGATGTATATTGAAGTATTTACACATTTAGAGGTAGTGAGTGGGGTCTGAAAAATTGGATAGAAGTGTTTGTTTTTATTTTTAGCCCCTTCTTTGGCCTTCATAGCTCTAATTAGGAACCCCTTTGCTGTGATATAATAATGAATAGTTGATTCTTACAACCCATTTGAGGTAGCTGCTGAGGGTACCCCACCTGTCCCTGCTGTTTACTTACTTTTCATTTTGTTATCTCCCTACTCACTTTCTCTTTTTTTGAACTTTGTCTTTACTGCTTATTATTCTTCTTTTATAATCTCTTTTGTATATTTTGATAATGTTGAGGGACTTTGATGAACCCTGTTAGCAGTATTAAGGCTTAAAATGTTGCTTACTTCTTTTGAAAGATTTAGAATTAATTTTAAGTATTAAAAATAATTCCCACTATTTGTGTGATTTATATATATAAATATATATACACATATATCCCATATAATTTCATAAGGCATATAGTGTTATTTCTTGTGGCATTATTTTTACCGGTTAAATTTTCTCCTCTCTGTCCTCCTTTCCCTCCCCCGCTCATTTCCTTTGGATTTTTCACTTCCTTTCTTTGTTTACTGCACTCATGCTCATAGTTAGTTGCCTGCATTTCATGTGGAATAAATGATTCATGTCCATAATTTTTGGCTCCTAGGAGATAAAAATTTTATGTAGTAATGTTATTGATTATGTTTCATTGGTCCTCTATAATGTGCTCTGAGTATCACCTCTAGGCACAGTTGCTCTCGGATTAAATATGTATTTGAATACTTTCTGAGACTCTTAATTTATATCTTGAATATTTAATCAGTCTATATCATATGGCCTGTTGTTGACTGACTACTTTGTTCTGTAGCCAGAGTACTTGAATTCAACCTTTTTAGGATGGACAGGACACATTCAGGAGGTCCCTAGTAATACCCAAGGACATTTTACATTCCACTAGTGAAAGGCATAACCTGGCAGAGAATAGATGTGTATATATGAATTTATTGTATAGATTTCAAGGCCAAAGTTTTGCATTACATTCAGAATCACTTCCACAGCACCTGGTATTCTGCCTTTGCAGTATAAATTCACTTTATCTACCTCCACCTTCACCCTGCGGCACTGAATGTAACCTTTTGCCTACATCCATAGTCAAAATGACAGAAACATAACTTTGAAGTTACTGGATTATTTCAGTCCTACTAGCAATAGCCTTTTGTGGTTCACTAATGGAAACAGTCTCAGACTTTTGAGCGGAAGGGCTGCTATTGGGCGCCTCAGTAATGGATGGATTTGCCACTCATTTTTCTCCAGGCAAAGGGGGTTTCTCTGCAGTGCACTATTCCATCAATTTAATGACAGAAACTTCTCACAAATTATCTCTGCCTTTTTCACTTTCTGTTTAATTTTTCTCCAATTTGATGGTTCGTTACAATTGAGGATCTCATTCCAAAATAATGGAACTTCATATTGATCACATTGTATTCTCTTAGCAACATGGGCAACATCATTATGCTTTAGGCTCTGTACCTTAAGAGAGTGTGTGTGTCTGTTACATGAGAGACTGAATATCTTGTTGTCCTAGTAAGAACGAAGAACCATGTCTGTGTGTGTATGTATGTCTTCTATTTGTAAATCACCACCAGTATATTACACAAGTGAGAAGATAAAGAGAGAGCCTGAATCCTGGCTCTACTGCTGACTAGCTGTGTGACTTTGGCAAGTCATTAAATCTCTCTGGGCCTCAATTTCCCTATTTTTGAAATGAGGAAGTTGAAGTAGTTATTGTCTAAGTTTCTTTTTGATTTGAAATTCTACGTGCTGATGCGCACAGTAAACACTTAACTGATCTTTTAGTACTCATAAACACTTAACTGATCTTTTAGTACTCATATTTTGAAGCTTAGTAATGGGTTTGTTTCAGAATTCTCTTAGTGCAATTTTATTAGTACAGTCAAGTAAAGTTTATGTTCTTGGAATTGCTTCCATAAAGACAAGAAAACCCTATGGGGCAGTGTGGTGGTTAAATTTGTGTGTCAACTTGGCTGGGCCTGGTTGAGTGGTTGGGCAGCTGGATGTGGTTAATTGGATATACTGAAAAGGGTGGTTTTTTTTATCTTTCTAGGACAGTGGCTTTGTGCATATTCATACGCCAATAATAACATCTAATGACTGTGAAGGGGCTGGAGAACTTTTTCAAGTTGAAGTAAGTTATGGTTTCAATCTTGGGGGACATGTTGCTATTTGATATTTTCATATGAGGGTTTGCTTTAAATTTTATAAAAGTTGTATGGACAAAAGACCATGACCAGCACCTGAAACTGTTATTAGTAATCCTTACAAAACATATATAAAAAATTCAAACTGTTCTAATTTTCTGTTCTACCAGCTGTATTAATTAAACTGTGACCAAAAGGAGTGGATTTTTAATTCAGTACTCCATTTGCTTTTCTTATCATGTCGCTATGAATTGGTAAACTAGAGGAATTTGAAGAGATTAATCAAGACCCTAAGATAGCTTTTGTGTAAATTCAACCCCTAGTTAATATTTTTAGACCATAAGTCATATTTTAAAAGATAATAAAAAATAAAAAAACATAATATTGTTACAATATCATTACTACAATAGAGTCAGTGTGATCCTGATCAAAATTCTAATAGCCTTCTTTTATAGAAATAGAAAAAACAATCCTCAGCTTCATATGGGAAGACTGAACTACTGAATAGATAAAACTGTGGTGAAAGATAAGAACAAAGTAGGAAGAATCACACTTCCTGATTTTAAAACATATATACAGTTTACAGTAATCAGAACACCTTGATGCTGATGTAACAATAGACACGTAGACCAATGAAATAGAATTGAGAGTCCAGAAATAATAAACATCTATGGTCAGTTGATTTTAGATGAGAGTACTAAGTCCATTCAATGAGGAGAGTAGAGTCTTTTCAATAAATTATGCTGGGAAAATTGGATTTCCACATGCAGAAAAAGACTTGAAAGCAGAGATTCCCAAAGAGACTTGTACACCATTATTCATTGCAGTACAATTCACAGTAGCCAAAAGATGGAAACAGCCTGAATGTCCATCAACAATTGAATAAATAAACAAAATGTGGTGTATAGGTACAATAAGAGAAATGAAGTCTTGATATATGCTACAGTATAGATGGAGATTGAAGACATTACGCGGAGCAAAATAAACTAATCACAAAAGAACAAATATTATTTGACCTTAACTTTCATAAAAAGACAAGAAAAGACAAACATATAGAGATGAAAGTGGTAACTGGGGCAAGAGCAAGGGAGGGAAGTGGGTAGTTAACAATGATGGAAAAAATCACATCAATTTAGAGTACAGTTGCTTAAGGAGTTATTACAATTGCTGACAACAAGGTGTAAATTTATAAAAAATTGAATTGGCAAAAGTTATATAATAGATATATTTACAACAGTGACAGAAAAAAAAAAAGTAGATGCTGAGGCTGCTTATGTACAAACACACACCTCCACTGAAACTGGAGTCTTCCCTTAACTCAGGCAGCTTCTGGCTACTGAGGCTGACAAACCCAAGGTTGACAAATAAAATGGCATAGTCCCAAGATTACCAAACAGCATAGCATGCCACTAGTTTAAATCCAGAGACAGCTCCAAGATTGGCAGGAAACATGGCAGGCTGCTGAATGAAGACTCAGCTACATGTAGGGTCCAAGCAAGCCAAAAAGCTCAGAGACCTTTCTCAAAGCTTCTGCTTATATACTGTTAGCAGACCACATCCCTAAGCTAGAAACTTAGCTGCTCACTGCAGGTTCCACCATGGAGTTGATTACCAGTCTCATCATGTGGAGTAACTCCACCCAGCTGCCCAACCACTCAAAACCAGACCCCGCCAAGTTGACACACAACCTTAACTTGCACAGCCACCTTAAAGACATTTTATAATCCCTTAATCTTAACCAGTGAATATTAAAAAAATAAATGATAGGGAAGGAACACATGATTTAAAGGAGTTTTTATAAATAAAAAGGGAATTATTAAAGGGATACAAAATTAAACAAGTAATAGAAAACAAACTAAGTAGTCCCCAGAATCATAAATTAAGTTTTGCTACCAGTAAAGTACCATAAGCAGGTCTGAGTGATTACATTATGTATGTTTTGGTCTCTAAGCAAACCCAAAGGAAGTTATAAGCTAAATATGAATAAATAGGAAAAGGGAAAAATGTATTTCTGAAGCTAAGCAAATGAGAAGTGCTCTGTGTTTATATTATTTCAGAGCAAGCAAGAGGATTTTTATGCAGTGGAATTAAGACTTGCCTATTTGGAGTGCCAGACAGAGATGCTCTTGAATTCATTGATCCTAGACTAATGCAGGCAGAGTCTAGATCAGGTTTCAGCAGTCTGTGGCTTTTGGTATTATGACTTGCTATCTTTGTTGCTTTTTAAAGTCCCAGTACCAAGACTTGTTTTCTGCCTTGGCCAACTTTCTAGCCTCTAAAAGCAGTGTTCTGCTTATTCCTACCTTATACACCTCTGTATTTCCAAGATTCTTTGTGTTGATTTCCTCCTGCCTGTAGCTGCAGGAATTTGAATCTTTACACCCCACTTTTAGGAGAAGGTGAACTTTAATATTTAAATTCTTGCATTTCTTCATGGTTTCTTTTTTGCTCTGATAGCAGTGAGGTATTAGTAAATATTTAAAGATAAGGTTGCCTGGTACACACTGAGGTTTGGCGGCAGAAGGGAGAAAACCTTGAAAAGCACAGTAAAGAACATGCACTTCTAAACTAACACTGTTGAGAAGTGAATGCATGCCCCATCATTGTAGTTTTCTTTTCCCCAGCTCCACTTCCATATTTGTTCAGATTTGGAGACTACTGAATACATATGTAGGAAGCTACAGTCAAGCCATTCATTTCTTATTTAGCAGACATTTGGTACTATCTATGTTTGAGATGCTGTGCTAAATGATGTGAGGGATATAAAGCTGTAGCTGATATAAAGATACACTGTAACCTGTAAAGCTGGTGAGTTGGCAGGGACTGATGAAGGAACAAGCTTTTCTTCACTCTTGATGTTATTTATTGTACAATCTTCCTTGTTTGTATAGTTTTCCTCTCTTAGTGCTCTAGCTGAATTCTCAAAACAGTGTTTGGTCTTCAAGATTCTGGAGCAACTAGTTTGAATCTTAGCAGATAAAAGAAATTAGAGCAAGAATAAGAGATATACAAAGAAGTTTGTTAGTGATTACCAGGGATGGGAGGGAGGGGGAAAGAGGAAAACATAGTTGAGTAAGCATTGCATTTCTGTTTATGATGGTGGAAAATTTGGCAGTGGATGTTGATGAGGAATGTATGTACATACAACATGATCGATGTAACTGGTGTCATTAAATGGTGAATGTTGGCAAATGTGATACATATTTTTTACAACAGTGTTATGGTTAGGTGCCTTTGAGTTGGCTATGACTCATAGTGACTCTGTACAGCAGAGTGAAACACTGCCTGGTCCTGCGCCAGCCTCACAATGTGTGCTTGAGCCCATCATTGTAGCCACTGTGTGAACCCATCTCGTTGAGGTTCTTCCCCTTCCTCAGTGACCCTCTACTTTACCAAACATGATATCCTTCTCCGGGGAGTGGTCCCTTCTGACAGCATGACCAAAGTAGATGAGAAGCCTGGCCATTCTCACTTCAAGGAGCATTCTGGCTGCCCTTCTTCCAGAACAGATTTGTTAGTTTTTCTGGCCGTCCATGGTATTTTCAGTATTCATCGCCAACACTACAATTCAAAGGCATCAACACTTCTTCAGTCTTCCTTATTTGTTTTCCAAAAGCTTTTACATGCATATGAGGCAATTGAAAATACCATGGCTTGGAGAACAATAGAAAATTTAATTTAATTTAAAAAAGAAATTGATGGGAAATAAGGTGAAACTGCTTCATGTTATACATCTGAGGTTGCAATGTTACCATTTGTAGGTGATGTGCACTGCCAAATCTGCTGCAGAAGACTTCTTTAAAAGTGTTAAGAAGCAACGATATCACTTTGAAGACTAAGGTGTGCTTAACCCAAGCCATGGTATTGTCAGTCACTTCATATGAATGTGAAAACTGGACAACGAATAAGGAAGACCAAAGAAGAGTTGGTGCCTTTTGAGTTGCAGTGTAGGCAGAGAATACTAAAAATAGCATGGACTACCAGAAGAATGAACAAATCTGCCCTGGAAGAAGTGCAGCCATCATGTTCCTTGGAAGCAAGAATGGCCAGACTTCATCACACCTACTTCAGTAGGTGATGTCGTCAGAAGGGACCATTCCCTGGAGAATGATATCATGGTTGGTAAAGTAGACAGTCAGTGAAAAAGGGGAAGACTCTCAACAGGATGGATTGACACAGTGGCTGCAACAATGGGCGCAAGCACAGCAGGAATTGTGAGGATGGCACAGGACGGGGCAGTGTTTTGTTCTGTTGTCCATAGGGTCACTATGAGTCAGAGCTGACTTGACGGTGTCTAACAACAACAGTAACTAATGATGTTGAGTTTCTTTTGATATACTTTTTGGCTGTTTGTATTTCTTCTTTGGAGAAATGTGTATTCAAGTTTTTGTTCTTTTTATTGTGGTAAATTATACAAACATAACATTTGCTGTTTTAAAGTATACAGTTCAGTGCAGTAAGTACAATCACCACCACTATCTAGTCCAGAATTTTTTCATCGCAAATGGAAACACCATATTCATTAAGTAGTCACTCCATATCCTCCTATCCATCCTGCCTCTGGCAACTACTAATCTGCTTTCTGTGTCTATAGATTTGCCTATTCTGGATATGACATGTAAATGGAATCATGAAATATGTGACCTTTTATGTCCGGTTCTTTAGTTTAGCATGTTTTCAAGTTCATCTTTGGTAGGGTAGTGCCTAGGCACTTGACTGCTAACCAGGAAGCTGGCGGTTCAAACCCACCAGCCACTCCTCAGAAGAAAGATGGGGCAATCTACTTCCGAAGTGATACTGCCTTGGAAACCCAAGGAGGAGTCACTATGATTCGGGTTTGACTTGACAGCACATAACAACAATAGCAACAATGTTGTAGAATGTGCCAGTACCACATTCCTTCCTGTGGTTGAATAACATTCCATTTTATAAATAAACCACCCTTTATCCATTTATCCACTGATGGTGATTAGTCTTTTTCTACCTT